TGGCATGTGCGCTTTCAAACGTCCCGGAAATGTTTATTAATGAAACCGCGCACGTCGTAATGGTACCGGAGCGCGAGGCGCGCGTTCGAATCTTAAAGGGACCGAAGCGCATTAGCGGACCCCGTCAAGACCGTCGGCCCCGCGAGTCGAATTGTTAACGCTGCCGCGCGCATCGCACACCGGTGGTGCGGCAATGTTTTCCGTTTCAATTGAATGCCATTCGAATGCCGTACAAGCAGGCGTGTAGTCAGAAAATATTCACTAGGTGGGCCCCCTACTTTCCGACTTATCTATACTATAAAAAGTTAGTTATCATTACTACAAATATATAAGTGTATAACCTGATTACATCATGTTTTATCATGTTGTTCTCTCTTGGTAATTTTAGTTTTATTTTAGCACCTAACCGCTGAGAGGTGGCCATTTTAAAATTAATTCAAACATAAAACATATAAAATAAAATTTATAAACACTATAAATTGTACAGATGACGTTTTGCACAAGTGTGAATGTGAGTGTGAGTGTTCAACCGGCGACAATAATATAATTCTATATTTCTATATGAATCAATATAATGATAATACCCTCGCTCAAAAATATTTTAAAAATAGGCATACGATAATAACTGTGTAGATAAATTAACGTGACATTGTAGTATGGTACCGGTATTTGGCTTAAAATAGCAATTATTTCCTAATCGATCGTTAACAATATTATTTATCATAAAAATAAATTATCACTCATTCTTGGTAGCAACAGAATCTGGGGTGGGGGTAGTCCTCTGATAACCACTAAGTCCCTCTTAATAAATGTTTGCCAAATTTTAAGAAACATTTTTTTCAAATATACATTGTACATTTCAAATATTGAGAAAATTTTCCTTATATTATATACCAATACAACAGCGATCGACTGTTCGATCTTTCTAGGAATATAGGTCGAACGCGAATAAAAATTAATTCAACTATTAATTCCAAAAAATACAAAATTAACTCTTATTCTCATTCAAGAGTACATATAACAAACAAATATATGACAAGACGAGCATCACGCAGTAAGCTTTGGAAAACAATGCAAAGTGCATCGAAATCCCAGACTTAATTATGAGGTAAAATTATTATTTATATTGCGTTTATAAAAAATATTCAGTTTTAGTGAGTTTTTTTTATAAATTAAAATACTTAAGGCCTCATTTTGAAGTTTCGCCCCGAGCACAATATTTGATTACTACAGCCACTCACTTTACCAGTTAGCTCTGCAACGTGTGAGCGTAGTTTTTCAACGTAGAATTAAGACATGGATGAGAACTACTATATTCCAATATAAAATAATCTATTACTTAATGGTAACTCTGTCAATACCGATTTTGATTTTTTTTTTATAAATCTGTCTTTTATTTTTAATGTACCTTTAGTATTTAATTTAATATCTTTTTTTTCGTTGTTGTTTTGTTTTATATAGTTTCTACATTAATATTATTGTTCTTAATGTTTTTATTATTATCATGCTATGTATAATCTTTTATCCTAATTGTTATTCCAAGTTATAAGTTCTAACATTAAGCATTTTACTTTTTAATTGGACTCAGGTCCGTAAATAAATAAATAAAATCGGTTTACTAATCTATCTATTATTCACATCGAAAAAGACCCGACTAAAAGTATTAAACGGGAAGATATTTTAAATGAATTCCCAAAATCCTCCAGAATGCTGGTTTTAAAATAAATTATCCATTACTGTTATTACTTAATTATTGATATGTTAGTTGTCTTTTATGCATTATATAATTTTGTAGTATCAATAAAAAATAGATTTCTTCGGATAAAATGAAATTTGAATATAATGTTCACAATTGGTACATAATTGAACTCTAAAGAGTGTGTGGAGCCGAAGCCCCTACTTTTTAGATTTATGTAAATAATTGTAGCCCCCCTCCAACATTGTCAATGGATAACCGCTTATTATAGTACAATCTGATACGTGCATATTTTATTCCCAGAAACAGACAGGATTGAATATAGTTACAATTTACGTTACTTACATTAGATTCTAATTGAAACTCGATATATTTGGTAGTATTTACATCATATTTAGACAATATTAAAAATTTACATACAAATTAAAAGCCATCATATAACACGTTCACGGTCAGTTACTGCAATAGTAGTAATTTAAATTTTTTTTTAATTTTTATGTAATTGGTCACTACTGCTACATCAGTAATTTACAAAATCAAGGAAATCGGGCATTACTGCTCATACAGTACTTTTTTTAATGGTATTATACGAAACTGGAAATAAGACTGACCCATTACGTATACTCATATATTTAGGCACATAACATTATCACACAATAATATTATTCCAAATATAACATGTTCTATTTTTATACTTTCTGGTGGAATTCTTGTTTTGATGTTGATATAGATATTGTTTGCTTTTTTAATTATATGATATTATGATACCAAGAAACGGTTCCGTATACGAAAACTGATTACGGTTTGAATGTTGAAAAATTACGTTTTGAACGCAAAATAGCGTACGCCATTTCGTGTTTATGATTTACAGTGTGAAAATTAAAAATGGCTAATAGTTCTAAAAAAACTATCGAAGAGTTTTTAGATGAAAGTTTTGAAGTTGAATTAGACATATCGTTATTATTATAGGGTTTTGAATTTATTTTATACTATTACTGTTATAACAATAATGACCAATTACTAAAAAAAAAATTATATGCTATAGAAGTAATAAAAAAGTGCTTTTCTGAAGTAGATACATGAATAATATCAAAAAGTGAGGTGTCCGTGAACGTGGGCCCCTCTGAATACTTTGGGTGGGTCGGCCTAAGGCTGGACACATATTAGAGTGGGTATTAAAACCTCCCTTAGCTACGTGTCTGCGTACGACCGATGTACCAAAGCGTGTTTTACATGGTCTTCACTGGATAACAATACTATAATAAAATCGTCTGCCAGAGGAACGTACGAAGAAAATTAACTCGTGTCATTACGAGAATGTGTTTGGTCAGTGATACAACGATCACCCGTCACTGGGTAACATTCAATTGTCACTTGGAGGGGGGTACTAGTGCCCACGGACTTTGTACTATAAAATATTCTCTTATACTCGCGACGGCATATAATACCCTCTCACGCACAAAACACACTGCGAAGCTCCTCGTGCATTTTTCGTTTTTTCTTTACTATTGACGGATCCGTTTTTGAGACGCGCGGCCACGTCTATACCGGCGCTTGTCACGTGCAGATATACTCCGTCTTAATGCAAACTGCAACAACTATTTCGATTAAGTTTCTTTTATTTTTTTTCATCGAAAAACGAACCTCTTCTGCCGAATGTGAAAGAAATCAAATAGAACGATTACAACGACGGGTGCGCACAAGAGTAATAGAATATTGCGCAGACGGAGTCTAAAATACTTCCTGTGTCATATACGCACTACACGATAGTAGAATAATACGTACACAGGCGGAAGATACTATGTTTTTTTTCATCATAATCAACGACAACTAGAATCATGGACGTGTACGAGAGTATGCGATGCACGACGGTTCCCGTCGGCGGTGGTTGCCTGTAAAGGGTCGCGAGGGGTTCGTCCAACCGCTCCGCCCACTCGGCAACGGAGCACAGGTGAAACACAATAATATTACGAAATGGAATAAGCGGCAACCACGTAGTCTGCGGCTGCCGTCCATTATCTCTTCGGTGGAAATCGTTCCGACAAAGATTCCCAAACAAAACACGCGTTGCGACTCCTACCAAGCTACATTGCACTGAGATACACGTTCCTCGGATATTGCCGTACGATTTGCAATACATTTTTGGGTGATTCGCCGGTCGCTTTGAACCAAATCGTCAACGAGTTGGAGATGTTGATCGTCCGTCCGCTGCGCGTATTATCAATTACGATTTTTCCAAGCTCGCAACCCCGACATTTTAATACCCATCGATTTACAGTAGATCTATCAACAGTGTCGTCGTTATCATAAACTGCTTTTGAACGGCCATGTATCTTAATAGTAGTCACATTTTCAACTGTTAAAATTCCGACAACAGCGTGCTGTTTAACTCGCGTTGATATAGCACTAGAAAATACTTGCGCTATTTAAAACGAACTGGAAAACGCAATGCGTTCAAACTATGTATGCGCATTAAGGGGGAAAGTGGCTTCCGAATGCCACCAAGCGCACTTCTGTAGGTTATTTTGTTCGCGTTCTACAAGCATATGTGTATTATTTTTTCAGCACGAGTATAAAACAATTTTTTATTTATATTAGTTTATTGATAACAACTCAATAAATTTAAGGTAAACTTTTTAATATCAGGCATTTTTTTTTTTTTTTTTATTTAAGAACTTTTAGTACAAACTATTATAGTTCAACAATTACAGATATTATTAGGCATTATAATGTACAAATAATACAATCTACAACTTTCATCTTACTAGATAATTTTTAAGCTATCAGTATTTCTTTAATAAATCTTTATCAGATTTCTATACTACACGAGATAAGAAAACTACTAGAATATACTTATATATTTTTTATTTATAGTCTATGGATGTATTGATATTAAATCAATAATAAAAATAAAAAAAATAATACAACCAATGGGAAGGGGGAATGACCATAGACGGTCCTCGGACACCGTATAGATCTCCTGCGATCTGCGTCTAGCGCTTCGAGATCGTAATATTATGATTTACGACAATACACAGAGTTGATCCCGTTACGGTTTATAATAATCGAGGTCGCTACTTATAGTAGGTGTAATTATTATGAATTTCACCTCAAAGAAAATTCGATGCAAGTACATATTGGTCCACAGTTGTAAATAACGTATTACGCGTGAAAACTTATCGAATCTAACCTGATTGATCGAACCTAACCCGCGAGAAGGGTTGAGTAATTGCAATGCGTCACGAATATTATAGAAATTTTTGGGCGTGTTATTGATGTTTTCGAATTTTGTTGTTGTTCGCAGGACCACGTTCGCGGAGGATGAAACGTAAGGATAAGTGCCCGGAGGAGAAACGACCCAGGACGGCATTCAGCGGCGAGCAGCTATCTCGGCTTAAGAAGGAGTTCAACGAGAATCGGTACTTGACGGAACGCAGGCGCCAAGAGCTGGCCAACGAGCTGGGGTTGAACGAGGCGCAGATAAAAATTTGGTTCCAAAACAAGCGAGCCAAGATCAAGAAGTCGAGCGGTTCAAAGAACCCGCTGGCCCTACAACTAATGGCTCAGGGACTGTACAATCATACTACCGTGCCCATGTCCGACGACGAGATGGAAGACCACTTGACCGTCGCGTCCTCGTAATGTGTCCCTCGGTCCTGCCACCCGAGCCCTCTATGCCAGCTTTTTTTTTGATGCAGCCCAACACTCCCACCGGAATAGGTACAGTGCGTACCCCTGGGGCACATGTTAGGGTGGTACACGTATATTATATGCAACGAGGCGATAGGTTTAGAATCTTCTTCGCGACATAGTGTTCAATCGATGTCGTGTCCAAGTACTCGCTCTGCATATTGCGCATATCATATGCATATCGCGTGTACGCTGTAGGACCTATTCATTGGCTGTTCATTGATCAGGTTAATCTCCTGCCCGAGAAGTCTTCGCCACGTTATCTGTACGGATTTAAACATTTACGTAATATGTATGATACTTAAAGTTATATTTGTATTTCATATAGATACGACGTTGTATTTCTTCCGTTTCTATGTACGTTTTCGTCCTCTATACATCTCAATGTATTTTCCAATTTGTCCCAAAACAAAACTTCCACAATCCCCATATACCCACACGTTTTAGTGTTTAATTGCGTTCTCCACCACCCCCGAATCCCGCGCACGTGTAAATAACATTGTATAATGCGTATATTTATTATTACAGTAACTCGCATTTTTTGTTAAAACTTTTGTTTCTATTACGTTTCTATTTATAATGATAATAATAATATATGTTATTAAGTATAAAATTTTACTCGCGATTCGTCTATCGAACCGCACGGAAAACGCGTACACATTCATGTGTGAGCGTGATGTGTCCGTCGCTTATTGTGTTGCATAGCGATGATGTACATAGATAAATATTTATCTTATAAGTATATATATTATATAGTTATAATCAAAGTGTCTTCTTTCCATATACGCGCATATACTGTGCGTATATATTATTTTAAATTGAAATAAGACCGATAGTTAACGTAGTTAGTGTCCGTCACATCCGCACACCCACGCCCGTATACTTTTCACTAAAGTCGATTTTGTTTGTGCCACGCGAACTCGATCCGCATGCATGTGTATTATTACTTCGACCAATTCATCGATTCGTATGTGTACATAAGGAAAATAAACGGTATTACGACCAAGAATAATTTACTCTTCGTTTACAGTTGCAATACATAATTTTACGATACTTAGTGGACGGTAAATATTCTGAGCCCACAGAAATTCACGGAAAATATCTTTATCATACGATCTTATATGCATTAATATCATGCAATGATCGATTCAGATATACAACTAGAAATTTATGTTTCGGTTTTATATTGTATCAACGGTAATTTATCGTGTTTTCTTTCCCCCTCTCCTTTTTTAATAGATTACGTATACAGTAAAACCTTTATAACACCGTAAAAATATTCCGTGTAAATGGGGTTCAAGAAAAAAGAAATGGAAATTAAAGATTACTTATTTTTAGCAAGTGAACATAATAATATGTATAATATAAAATTAATGGCCATTCTAAGTTTGGCTTTTCATGTTGTTTTCCGTCTTAGAGGGGAGGGTGGTTGAGCCTATTTTCAGACGATAAAGTGTCCGTTTCCGGCTTAGTGAGGTTTCCGCCTTGACGGGATGAATTCATTATATATCTGAAACGGGACCAAAGATATTTTCCATATCAACGGGGTTACCGTCCTATTGAAGTTTTACAGTATATACTCGTACTTAAAAATGACGTGTAAACCCAACAGTCAATTTATTTATTAAAAACTCCATGATAAACTGTACATATAATAGTTTATATTAAATTCGTATTGTTTATGTAAATTCCACATTGTACACGTGCATCTGAGCAGTGACGTAAATTGGATCCAATTTCTGGTGGTGCAGAGGCATATTCTCAACTTATAATTTCCAACACACCAATTTTCCAATTTCCTAAGTAAAATTCTTCCCAATAAACTATATATTACCCCAAACATTTCTTTAAATACCAAATAAATTTTAAATTATTTTAGCAGTAAAACCTTTATTATTATAATATTATAAAAAAAAAAAACAATCTAATTTTGTTTTTAGTATGCTGATTTCCTTGGCTCTTGAAAATAATATTATAGGTATACAAATTTCAATAATTTTCTGGTGGTGCAAAAACATATCTTTGTACCACCACATTTTAGATGTGGTGTTGCAAGTGCCACATTTGCACCATTCAGTTTACTCCACTGCATCTGAGTAAAATAGACTTGCGAGCAAACGTTACACTATACAACAATAATCGTTTTTAAATGTAGGCGCGCGCGTAATCGATAACGATCACATAATTATAACCAGTCTTGTTCAGGACTGTCTACGACTAGTGGATTGCAAATATTTCGCGTCTACGTTTCAATACGATTGTTAATAATCATAAGTAACAGATAATGAGCGCAAAAAATAAATTACAAGTTTATTCATCATCACAGTAAATACTGACGATTTTGGCGACTATCGGACGTTATGTCGTTGTAGCAGGGGGTGTGCGTAACACGGAACTTAGAAATAAAAAATTAGGCGGTTTGAAATAATTCTTAAAAACAATATTAATCATGAGTGACGTCATATCGTTATACTATTACAGATTGTGTTGTAAATATTTATATTAGACGTAAAACGTAGACTGAAAAATATTTAGAATTTTTATTTTTATTTCCCATACCTTTCCCGTCGAGAATGAAACGTGTCAGCATTTTACGATTATACATATTCATTTTTAACTGTATATCTAGTCATTATATTATATAATTATTATTATTATATTATTATTACGCTAAATGTATTTATATATTTACTTTGTTTGTACAATTGTATACAGTGTACAAATGTCTGCAATAGTCACTCGTGACTTCTAAATTAATAATAAAATATATGATGTTCTGTAGAATCAAATTACGTGTTGAGTTATACATAAAAATATAAACCTTTCATGTACACATAAATATATTTATACACACACAATTAATAATCATTATTGAGTGATTAAATATTATTATTCTATTGTGTTTTTTAATTATATCGTATGTATTAATTTCGCTGTACAAATAATGATGGTTAGTGATTACTAATAATAACAATAAAGAATCTTATTTAACCATATTTTATCTTCGTTGTTATTTCAATTGTTACAATACGTACCTTTGATGAAAATACAATATATTTTAGGCTAAGATCTCACGGACTACTTATGAACGATTTTTAATTTTTTTTTATAGGTACTAGGTGGTTGTGCTGTTGACGATATGAACCACTTATGAACTATTTTTTTGTGGTCGTTAAAAATCCGAACCGACAACAATAGAAACACACCACAACTAAAAATATGGCATATATTAAAAACAAAAATGGACTTAAAAGTAGAAACACTATTACAGGGTCTATTCTATGGATTTTTTTCAACAGCGTAATTATTTTTTACAAGCACCTATACATATTATTGTAATATACAATTTAATTTTGTATATTTGTATGCAATAATTGCGTATTATGTATACCTGTTTAAGTTGATTTTTATTATGAGTTTTAATTAAGAGAGATACCTAAGAGATTGTAAGGGCATTCACAATAGTAATAATAATAATAATAATAATTTACATAATGCATTACAATAATAACGGCGATTCGCGATGTAATAATAAAATAAAGGCAATTCGTGCCCATTACAATAATAAAATGGTAAAAAAATGGCGTACAATTTTACCTATTACTTGGACTATGACCAATTAGTTAAATATTAAGATGACTATTTGTAAAAAATATGTTATATAATCACATACGTTTTTCACAAAAAACACTAGAATGCTTCAATCTTTCATATATACTTTCTAATAAGTTTATAAATGAAAATTCAACTTCATATTCATTAAATAAATCAGACGTTATCATTATAGCCTTAGCAGACGATTTTCAAGCACTTCCTTTATATGATAAATTCATTGCATTTACTTTATTACGTTTTTTTAAACATTTTTAGTTGAATGTTTATTCCTTTATACTTTACAGTGTTAAGAAATATTTATGGTAATACTTATAATATTATAGAATTATTTAATTTTATATAGGTATCATATTATGACCCCCAATATAAAATGTGCCCCTAATAATTTACTCTGGATCCGCGCTTGATTCAAATGGGTTCTAGTCACGGAACTACAAGTAACTTCACGTCTCTTTGTATCAGATTTATTTAAAACCTTAAATCGTTTAATAAACATATTATAAAAAGTATAAGTCTTTTATTTAATTAAAAATCATAAATCATCAACTACTCAAGTTGAAATCAAACCGATGGCACGTAAGACAATAATAAGTAGGTATTCTAGTTGTTGTTTGAGCGATAACGATGATAAGAGGGACCAGTCACGGTAGTGACATAAATGTTAAATTTATAATAGAAAACGAATACAATAAAAATAAATATATAATTGACTAATTACCAACACTCAATTTAAATATATGAAAAATAAATCAATTGCCTGGTTGGCACAACATACATTTATAATAGAAAAAGAACATAATAAAAATGAATAAATAATAATTCAGTTGCCCATCGTGGTACAATAAATATATAATTGAATAATTAACAAAACTCAATATATACAATAAAGCAAATTAACATAATAGTAATATAATAATAATTTTACATATGGCGGTTATAAGGAAAAGAAAATTTGGTCGACCAATACCATGGACGTAGCTTGGTATTATTATCTGTGGGGGCTATATTATAGGACTAGAAAAAATGTATTCCAAAAATTCCTTATCGTTAGTTTGAATTAAAGTGAAAGAGAATATTTCCTAGATAAAACAATTTATAGGTGTCTCATTTACCTGACATTTTATTTTACATTACATAAAAAAAAAAATTAATTTTGAGTTATTAAATTAAACTTATTTTTTTTTTTTTAAATAATTAATAAAATATCTTCTTTCAACAGTTTATTGTATTTTGCCCAACTTTTCAAAACACTATTAACTAAGCGACAAAACATTGTCACTGGGCGACATTTGTGTCGTCTAGTCCAGCGGTCACTAACTGACTAGTTCACTAACGAGAAAATTTAAGTGGTCCGCAAAAAAAATTTGAACGTTAGGTACTTACAGAATCTTTTTGTCGTTATTTCCTAAAAAAATAAGACCCTAGACATGGTATTATGTGGATAATAGATTCATTGCAGCAAACAACGAAAATAACAAGTTAAATATGACTGAAAAAAAATACCTCATCGATTTATTTAACGGTATTTATGTAAAAAGCTATTTTAAGCTAAAAGTGGTTCGTAGAATTTAGAGTATGTATTTAGTAGTTCGTGAGGTTCAAAAGGTTGGCGACCGCTGGTCTAGTTAACACATTTAAAAAATGCATTGAATGAACATACAAACATTTGTGACAACTGACAACTTTTGGTGCGAGGCAAAATTGTAATATAAATAATTTTAAGGAAAAACTAATATAAAAAATTTCAAAACATCGATAAACTATCGATGTTTAATCGTATAGTTTAATTTGAGTTTGTCCTGTTTTCAAGTTACCTAAGTCTAGCAGAAATGAGTTATTTAATGCAATTTCAAAATGGCTCGGGTTGAATATCGTTTAGATCATCAGGTATTGACGGGTTATTCATTTTAATTTTGCTATTTATTGGACTTGGATCATCCACTGCAAAGTCTTCATTGTCTTGTCTTCATTAAATAATATTAATAATTGGTGCCAAAATAATTCGCTTTCTAATAATATTGAAAAATGTGATTCCATTTCATTCTATAAAACTCATTTTCCTATTAATTTTAATTATTCCATAAATTCGTCACTTATTGATCAAGTCCAATTTATCAAAGATTTAGGTATTATATTTTCCTCTGATCTATCATTTAATAACCATATTGACTATATTTGTCGTAAATCATCAAAAATATTGGGCTTTATTAACTGTAAAACTCACGACTTTAAAAATATTCAGGCATTCTTTACTTTCCTTGTTCGTTCAATCCTAGAATTTGCATAATTTATTTGGGATCCTCATCGACAAACTAACATTGATCGGCTTTAACGGCATTCAAAATAAGTTTTTAAATTTTCCCGAATACCGTAGTGGCACAAAACCAATTTTAAATTCCTTAACTAACAGACGTCGTTTTAATAAAATTGCATTTATTCTATATTATATAAACTACTAAATGGATCAATTGATTCCCTTGATATTCTTTCACTACTTCCTATCACTATTCCAACTTTTAATTCTAGGCAACGCATAACTTTTAAAAAGAATTAAATAATAGAACTAATAGAATATAACTAATTATGGTTACACATCCCCTCTAAATCGTACTTTTAGCATTATATGCATGAGGCTGATATATTTTTTGATCCATTGTCTTATTTTTAGGTAGTAATAACAATATTATTGAATATAATTATATGGTTCCATTTTTGTTTTAGAAAATTTAAATGATTGCATGAATAACGATAGTAATAATTTTTCTATAGAAAACGTTAGTAATATAGAAAATCAGTTGCAGTACGTACATGAAAAAAAGATCTAACTCAAAAAATTGGAGTTATAACATAAACAAAAAAAAATAAATTGAATGGTAAAAAATAATATGGTAAGAAAAAACAAATGGTGTATGATTATTCAACATACATAAACCTGCAAAAGTTTTGAAATGTGTTTGCAACTGTAAACTAAGTTCAAAAAATAGTAAACTGAAATGTAAAGAAGTTAAAGAAGAGGAACGGTTGAAAATATTTGAAGAATTTTGGGAATTTTTAAAAATTGAGAAAAAACTATACAAAAAAAATTCCAACTCTTAGGCTTAAAGATACATTAACTCCTTCAAAGAGAAGTTCATCTATCCAATACTATTTACAAACAGCTGATGATAGGGTAAGAATTTGTAAA